CCATAACAATTCCTTTGAGTCCATTAAAAAATACAAATTGTTTGAAGGATATGTTATACCCTACAGCATTAGGAATATCTGCCAAAAAATACAAGGATTTAACGAGTCTAGTCAATAAAAACATAATTCCTTCAAGGTTTGCTGCAGAATACAAAAATTTAAAAGTAAGCATTAAAGCAAAGGATTACTTAATGGACACAGATGAAGAAGACATACAAGAAATAGATAGTGCAAATTGATTTAAAAATTGTTAAACTGATTACATTTTGATTTTATGATATTTTATAATGTTTTTAATTTACCCTAAAATAATTTATTTATTCAACATTTATTGTTCACAAAACATACATAAACTTTTGTTTTTGTTCTTTCCAGATAATTTCCAGATAAATATTTTATTTTGTTCTCACAAAATAAATAAATTTCCATAGTTACAGCGTTATGTTTTACCATCCTTTCAGTATTTCTAGCAGTAACTACAAATGAAATGCATCTAGTTATACACAAGAATATCATTTACTTCAGAATTGACACAGATAATTTATTGGTTTATTTAATTACATCAAATATTCTTTACGCATAAATGTTTGATTTTGAGTCTCCCATACATTTATATGCTTCATTTACAGCAAATTTACGTAACAGACAAAAAGTTGCTATTGTTGTAACCAACACAAACACATAATAAAACTTACTTCTGGTAAAATCTTAGTATTCGGCTTGATAGAAAACAAAAAAATACATTTTGGTTCTTAAAATGATACTTCTAAGTTATATAGTTTAGGAGATTTTTTTATTTTTTTAAATAAATAATTTTCTTTTGCCTCTGGTGAACATTTTTCATTTTGTGGGTTATAGCAGGTTTGCTTTTTGCCGTCGATATTTGTTAGTCGTTTGTTTTGTGTCTCGTTAATTTGTTAATAATCTGTAGTGTATCGTGTTGTCGTAATATAGAACTATTTCTCGTATTGTTTCGTTTAATTTTTTATATCCAGTAAACATATTAAGTGTATAATCTATGCAGTAAACTCCAGTCGTGCGTCGGAGCGGACACACACACTTTTTCGGTGGACTTTTTGGAAGATCCCGAGAAGTTACGTTCGGTGACTTTGTTTCATTTTCCCACATTTGTGCACTTTCACAGATACTAAACAGTTAAATTTTCGACAGTGTGAAGACATCAGTTTTGCGTGTATAACAATGTATTAAGTGAGCATAAGTGTCTATATTCTTTAATACCGTATATTTATTACTCACTTTAGTCTGCGAATCTTTTACATTTGTTTACATATTAACACACTTTTGACATCATGAACAGAAACAAGAATAGTGCCAAAATGTCTGGCAGAGCAGACGAAATGGAATTGACAACTTATAGCAGAATGAATGGAGACAAGCCTCCTGATATTAAGGAGAATGTAAAGGAAAACTCTTGGGTAGCTGGTGTGCAAATGTTTGTTTCATTTTTGCTTGCCGGATTTGGTATGGTGGCAGCCAGCCTTCTTTTAGATGTTGTCCAACACTGGGACGTATTTTCAAAAGTGTCCGAAGTATACATACTGGTACCGGCCTTATTAGGTCTCAAAGGTAATTTAGAAATGACATTAGCTTCAAGACTTTCAACACATGCACATTTAGGTCACTTAGAAACGAGTCTAGGATCCTTAGTTGTTGGTAACCTCTGCTTGATTCAATGTCAGGCAGTTCTAGTAGGGTTTTTAGCTGCAATGGCAGCTGTGGCAATGGGGTGGATACCAGAAGGCGAGTTTGATATTCATCATGCTTTATTGTTGTGTGCCTCCAGTGTCTTAACTGCATCGTCTGCAAGTTTAGTCCTTGGTTTGATTATGATTGGTGTGATAGTCATTTCCAAACGTATAAACATAAATCCAGACAATATTGCTACACCAATAGCTGCCAGTTTGGGAGACCTGACAACTTTAGCACTATTGTCCTTTGTAGCATCTTTGTTGTATAAGTCTATTGGTACGAGTGTAGTATTACCATCGATAATTATAATAATGGGTGCTTCTATTGTACCTGTTTGTGGTTATGTGGCATGGAAAAATAAGTTTACACAGCAAGCTTTAGATGAAGGATGGGTGCCTGTTGTATCAGCTATGGTAATAAGCAGTATTGGTGGTCTTATATTAGATCACACAGTGTCTGTCTATAAAGGAATAGCAGTATATCAATTAGTGATCAATGGAATTGGTGGTAATATGGTAGCTGTACATGCTTCAAGATTATCAACAACACTGCACACTGGACAAAAAGAAGACTCTGTTATAAGCAGCACAACTAAACTTCTTCTTTTGATGGTAGTACCTGGACAATTAATCTTTATTTACACTATAGAGTACCTAAGAGCTGGCCATACCTCAACAACATTAATCTTCATTTTTATTTATATGTCTGCTGCTTTGCTCCAAGTGTTTCTTTTATTGGCTATAAGTCATTACATGGTTGTCTGGATGTGGAAATTGGGTATGGATCCTGATAACTCAGCCATACCATACTTGACAGCACTAGGAGATTTACTTGGTACTGCACTTTTAGGTATCGCTTTTAGTATATTGTATGCTATAGGAGATAAAGATAGTGATTTGGGTGATTAATTTATCTTTAATTAATAGTATCTTATAATAAGACTGTTTTATCTATTGTGAAAAGATATTTCTTGTGACATGTGATTGACATTACTTAAAACATTAATCTTACGAATCTACTTAAGTAAAACTACAATCTATCTACAGGGAAATTCTAGTACATAATATTGGTGCTATAGTTCCATAATGTGGTATACAAAAATAAATTTATTTCATTATCTTAGGATTAATATATTTTTGTAAACTTTCAATAAATATATTGTTAAGTTTGTGTATTTCGTTTAAATTTTCTTCAGTGGCAAAATCATTCCTGAACCTAACTATAATCCAGCTCTGCTTATCTTCATTCTAATTTAACAGAAAGTAACCATTAACTTCTATACATAAAAATTGAAGATTTAAAAATTTACAGCTATGGATGTTCATAAGAATACTTGCAATTAAAACTGCTAGTGGGGATGACATTATTATAGCTAGGTGTGATTTGCTTTTTACAAATAAGGCCATTAGCTAATACAAAGAAATGTAAACTTATGAGAGATGCTGTATATTAAAATCATTTTATTGCCTCAGTGTATTAAAAAAACAATTTGTGCTTAAAGTTTTCATAGAATGTTCTATTTGATGTTGTCGAATTATTTAGTAATGGCATTTTTAAGCTTTCATTCATAGCTATATTCTGGCACTACATGCTAGTGTTATTTTATTGTTATATTTGTTAGTGGTATGTTGGGGTTTAGGCAACTTAAAACGCACGACTGAACTTCAGTTGAGACAGAACTCAACAGATTTTTGGTAGACAACAGCTTGGTGCTGCCCCTGGCGTTGCTGACGTCCATGAGCGACGGTAACCACTCACCATCAGGTGGGCACACGTCATTATTACGGATCCTCCTGATCCATTAACGGTGCTTTTAGGCAACACAAGCACCGGTTACCGTCCTCGTCAAACCCGTCGGTTGCGACGAAGGGCTCGACGAGCGAATTAACCCATAGATGCAGCCCACTGAGTTTCTCGCCGGATCTTCTCAGTGAGTCGCGTTTCCGATCCGGTGGTAGATTCTGCAAAGCACTGCTCTTGCTAGGGTCAGTGTTAGCATCTCTCCAGTTTGAGCTCCGTGAGCTTACCTACAAACGTTAGGGTGAAGCGGAAATAGCCTCTCAAGGCTACCAGCACAGGTAGGAAAAAAAAAACAGGTGGGCCATATGCTTGTCTGCCTAAAGTGCATAAAAAAAAAGCATAGAGGATGTACAGAGTGCTCCTCTCAGTGATACTACTCTCTCATTACAATGGTAGAGCATAGTTCATCTCCAAAATTAAACAGTAAATAGTTACAGTTTAGCATCTTTAGTTCCTAAGTGATAATCATGTTAGTTAGGTACCAGCTAGTCAATTTTATTATTGTTATTCTTGTCTATTTCTGTATCAAAATTGTTTATTAGGATTCCAGCAAGAATAATGTTGAATGGTAAAATTATAATAACATGTACTAAATAAACCTGGAGAAATTATCTTACCATTTTTGAAATGATTAGAATTTTTATTACCATTGCAATTCTGATCAATATTGTCATAGAGAATGTCTCGAAATCAGATCAAACAGAACTGCAACACATACTTTCAGCAGATGGGCATTCTTAGACTTTAAAACTAATAGGAGTGGTGACAATGAAAACACTGGAAAATATTTTTTTATGTTTATTATTTAAATTACTTTACTTCACGTAACCTCCTGACAGCAGATCTGCATGATGAGGCAGCAGTAGTGGAGAATACCCAAGCTCCTCCTGCTACAGTCCTCTTGCATCGCTTACAAGACCAGATGCCGACACAAGAACGTTTCATAGCATCCTGGAAAAATAATGCATGACATCAAGACTTATTTCTTTATTTTTGTTTACATTGCATTTATAAGAATGCACTTTATTTTATTTTATATTTACTGTAATTCAGAAATATAATTAACTAAACATAGACCTCAGAATATTTGTTAGCAGTATATTTTTTTTATTATTTCTTGCCCTTGCAGTAGAACGAGCATAGGGCCCACCGGATGGTGAGTGGTTAACGTCGCCCATAGACTTCAGCAATGCCAGGGGTAGAGATAAGCCTGTGCCTGCCGTTAAGAAATCTCCACAAGCCTCGTTTGAAGAAGGATATGTCATAGTGCTCGGGAAACACAGTGGAGAAGAGCTCATTCCAAAGCAAATGCAATTTTGCCTGCCACCCTTGTACAGGGGCCATGCTCTACTCTTCCCTATATTGTTCCAATTTTAGTATATGTACTGCCGAAGCAAGTACATATTATAATACCAATACAATTAGAAGAGAAAGTTATCACTGATGCTACCAATGTCTATTAACTAAAAATGAATGTTATGATGTTTGTCCTATATGCACTTCTAAAGCATTCAATTTAAACTTCATATAATTGATATTTGCACTTTAGGATAACATTTTGTCTTAGTACCAAGAAGATACAACAGGTAGCATTAGAGTTATTTCAAGAAATCCATGTTATACTAATAAAATTAATAGCAGAGGGTAAATTAGTTTTACTAATATTTGTACTGTATATTTTTATGCTCCTCATCAATGAATTCATGTTTATACTTAGTAGTACTGATCTTAGCAGGTTGATGAGCTATGTGCATGAAAAGTATTGTAGCAAATAAGTGTATAAGCAATCTTCACAAAATAGCACAACACAGTTGAGATTACTTGCACTTTTCTTCCAACAAAAACAACTGATTTAATTAGCGAGCTCCCTAGTGACTTCTACCACTATCATCGGATTAACCTCAACATTTTATAAATATGGTTCCTTACAAGATTTTATTTCTTTTTTTTTATTGCTTGGATGTTAAGATTTAAAAGGTAAACATTTAATATAAATTGTTCTTGACCAATCTAAACAGATTCTTGGTCACTTAGTGACTAATTAAATTAGTAACTTAGACCAAAAAAACGATACTAACCTTACCACAAAATGAGCAAGTATACTTTGCGTGTTGGGTTACTTCCATCTTTTTGACCATTTTACGTAGAGAGGCACCGTAACGTGTGCCATATTTGCCAGTAATTCCAACCTTTTTGGTACGTTTGGCCTGAAAAGCATTAAAGTTTTAAACTTTTCCAAACACCGAACAGCAACCCTGACTACAACAGAACTACGTAAAATAAGCATAATTTTAATATTAATTTACCACATACACTTAACTTAAGTATTTTATATACATGAGGACTGAAAGATTACTGAAATATTTTAAAATTTAATTCTCACCATTTTGGTAAACCTCTCCGATACAAAAATTGACAGAGAAAAGAAAAACAGTTGTGACTTTGACGGCAAATGAATTTGTCAACAATTTATATTTTTGTTTTATTTGTCTTTGAGATAGGCAAAAGAAGCAACGCCTATACTACCAAATTATTAGTTTATAAAGGCCAAAATCGATACCGTTAATTAGTGAGAGTTAACTAAAATTTCAACTAAATTATAAGAGCCTGACAAGCTTATTTTATTTTTTTATTGCCTAGGTGGATGGATGAGCTCAGCGAGCTGCCCACCTGATGTTAAGTGGTGGTTACCGGAGCCCATAGACATCTACAATGTAAATGCCACCGCCATCTTGTATAACAGTTTTTTAAGTAATTATAGAGTAAAACATCATTTTAGTTATAGTTCGTATAGTTAAAACAACAAAAAATGGTTGTGAAGCCATACTTCCTAACCGAGATTTTATCTTAATTTACATTCTTACATTTCATCACATCTCAGAATACAGAAAAAAATTTATGTATTCTGTGCATCACATATACCACACAGTATATGTTTCAAAATTACAAAATCGGAGAGAAAGCAGTTTTACAGCGCAAAATAAGATATTTGACTAAAACCTAAATCTCGCGTAAGTTCCGAACAACAATATTCCAAAGGTGGGTTTGCTGAATAAAATCTCCTAGTCTGTGAAAGGTCTTCCTGTTATTTTTAACCTTTAAAATAGTTATGATTTCTATTCTATAATTTTGCTTTACTCCAATATCTCTATAAATTTTTTTTTCACCCATTTGTTAAACTCGTTCCATGGAGTTAATAAATAGTAACTCTATGACTCGTTCATTTTAATTTAAAAGAAAAAAATATCTGACATCCAGATGTCATCAAATGTCAATCAAAACAATTGTCAAGTTTATCAACTAAACGACCTACAGATTGCAGAAGGTCGATCTCACGGTTTCCAAAAAACCGTCCCGCTCATCTGGACGGAATAGTTTTAGTAAAAAATATTGATAATGTTGCGAACAATTGTGTTACGGAATCAAATCTTAAGCGATGGTCTTAAGAAAGCTATACGGTCGAACATTACGAGGTGCATTAGTACAGAACTGGCAAAAAGGAAAGTTACGAATAAGTAAGTTTTTTCGAAATTAAATAATTTGATAGTATATTAATTAGACATTACGTATAATTAGTTATATTTCAAAATTAAGTGTATGTTACAATGTTTTGTAAACTATCCTAAATTGGCGCTGTAATTCGTAGTAGTTGCATAACCCACAACGTCAATCGCTGCTCTTCACCTTGGCAGTTGTCATGGTTTTGCGATTAGTATGTACCGGCAATCACACGTGTCCGATGGTTGAAACTCAGAATTTGTGATTTAAAAAAATATCTTAAAGTCTAATTCAATAATGTTTCAAGCATCAACAATTTGGCGAGCACAATCAATTTATCCATGATTCAGTGACATTCGATACATTTTATTATTTTTATTTGTAACTGATTAAATGTTAGGTGTGATCTGTTGTATCAATTAAAATATATATATTTTAACAGCAAGTTAATAAAATCTGAAAATAAGTAGAAAAACCATATTTGGATCACATGAACTAACCCAAAATTCTGATCTACCCTTAAGATTGTTTACTCTGATTAAAGCAAGATAAATTTAAGAAATATACTTTTTTTATGATATTTTAAAATTATAAATAAAAATAAATAAAGTAATTTCTATTTGCTTACATATTGTAGTAAATTTTGACCAAAATAATTAAAATTAATTTAACAGACATAATAGAACATACATTTATAATCTATGTTGAATATCCTATCTTTCTACTGAGTAGCTGTCTTTAAACTTTGAGGACTATAAAGTTAATATCATAACACCGTTCCAAGATTTACTATACTTTAATAACATCAGTGATATAAAAATGTTAATTACTAATAAATCACTGCTCAAACACTCAGTGAATGCTTAAAAGAAGCATGATTACTTATCTTTATGTGAATGGGATCATAGATACTTTACTTTAGTATACAATTTTTACCATTGGATGACTGATAATTCCCTGTCATTAACTTGTAGTTTTGTACTAGATTATTTTTTAAGAACATGATCTGACTTTAAGTATCACTGTATCTGATGATCTTTTTTTATTTTTTATTGCCCTAGCAGGCAATGGAACATACGGCCCACCTGATTGTAAGTGGCTACTGTCGCTCATGGACATCAACAATGCTAGGGGTAGAGCCAAGCTGCTTCCTACTGTTAAATCTGATCTGTGATTGTTCAAAATATTTAAATGAATTCAATACTTTATTGAATCATAAATTTAGCCTACAGTAGTCAACAGATTTGATGTCAGTCCTTATTAGAAATGATAGTCTGAGGTTTGCTAGTAATCATCTTAGGAATTAATGGCAGTTTGATTGATGCTTACGTTATACAAAATTTGAGTCTTTAAAAAAAAAAAAAACATTAAGTGATATTTAATTCATCTATGCAAACTATACATTTTAAATCTAGTAGTTTGGAATGGAGGTCATTAAAATGTATATTATATTTGTCATGGTTTTCGTTTTGCGGTCTAGACACAATAAAGAACTATTCTAATACCTATTAAAATTACCTATAAAAGTAACTATCATATTTTTATCATTCTCAGATTATTAGAATATACACAGAACCAGGCAGTTCTATCTGTACCACAATGGACTGTTCAGATGAGGTATTATTCGAGTCTACCATCACATATAAAGGTCAACCTTCCAGCTCTTTCGCCAACCATGGAGAGTGGTTCAATTGTAAGCTGGGAAAAAAAGGAAGGGGACAAACTTAGTGAAGGTATAGCTTGAAAACATGGTGACTAATTGGCTATTTTAGTGAATTTATTTTCATTGTATAAAAATTAATAATACAAAGAATTCGATCTTTAATTTTGTAATTAAAAACAAACAGCGTGAGTAACTATACAAATATACTTGATCTATCTTAATTTTCAGGAAAAGTTCCTTTATACCCTAATCCCTAAAATATCACTAATTGTATGCTACTGTTTCATTTACATTAAATGCGGTATATTAATATGAAAGTAGTTAAGATGTAATTGCACCAAAATATTCCATTAAAATTTGTTCACAACTTTTTGCAATTTGTTGAAAAGTATGTCAAAATCTATTCCAAAAACAAAGACAGGTGGCAAAACGGCAAAACTTATAATTCCTGATAGAATAAAAAAAATGAAAATGATTTTTATCAATAGCATTTGCGAACTGCCTTTTTTTTACAATGGGAGAGTACAAATATTGAACTCTAAATGATAATATGTATGCTTGGTTGGGAAAAGAAGAGAATATGTTGTTCATGTTTTTCAGTGACCTGTATACAAACAATTACTGTTTTTTTTTAAATAAAATTGTGTATTCATTTGGATTAATTTATTTGTTGTTCTACTTTATAGGCGATCTTCTGTGCGAGATTGAAACTGACAAAGCAACTATGGGCTTTGAGACACCTGAAGAAGGTTACCTGGCCAAAATATTGATTCCGGCCGGTACAAAGGGAGTGCCTGTCGGGAAATTATTGTGCATTATTGTTGGAGATCAGAATGATGTTGCGGCATTCAAAGATTTCAAAGATGACTGTGAGTATTGTGCATGACTTTTTAATAAATGCATGCAGCATGATATAGTTTCTGAAGCCACACAAAAATAACTGCATGAAGTTTTAATAAGTTAAAATGATTTTGAAATGCAGTACCAGATTATTATAATAATCATTGCTTTTATAAGCGAGTATGTGGCCTAAGTGATGGTAAGTAATCAGCATCAGTCATGGATATCAGAAATGATAGAAGCACAGCCACTACAGGCTGAATTAATTTGATACTTTTATTGCAATACTGATGAAGATCGGTCACATTGAACTTTGATTATCACTAATTGTAGAAAATCATATCAATATCTTGATACTACTCTCGCTCTTCTGTTGTGAGTTGATTCTATTATATTGTAGCATATTTACTATTCTGATGTGTTAACTATGCTATACTATATAAGCATTGTGAAGTTTTCAAGAAATCTGACGAAGTGGTTTTTGTGTGAAAGTATGAACATTTTGCATATTTAATGGTGATAGGATAGTAGCTTGTTATTTTAATTATTAATAATTTGATTTTCTCCTAATGCTTAATTGTTAACAATATGTTAATTTGTCTATGGATGTTAATCTACAGCATCACCTGCAACACCTCAAAAACGGGCTAGTCAAGATAAAGGTAATTACAAAAAAATATTTTGTTTACTTTATTTTCTTGTATTTGTCAGGATGATACATGTGTGTGTGGTATCGATAACTGTTTCCGACACGAAAATGTATTATTAATGTTTCAAACGTTCCATGCAAAGTATAAATTAAAAGTACATTTTGGGTTGCTGTAGCTACCATAGAACAGTACTGTAGCTATTCAACAACAACCTGATCACGCTAACAAAATTCTCGTGATACGTCGATATTAATTATGTTTAATTTTGGTAAACACAATGAAGGATCAGTAAAATTCGGACAATCACTCTAAGGAGTGATAACATTCGTTCGGTGGAAGATCGTCCATTTGTCGGTCCCAATGTTATGCTTATTATTGGCTGACAATTATATTAACTTATTTTTTATTGGTGGTAAGTCCTCTTGTGAGTCCGCACGGGTAGGTACCACCGCCCTGCCTATTTCTGCCGTGATGCGTTTCGGTTTGAAGAGTGGGGCAGGCATTGTAACTATACTGAGACCTTAGAATTCACATCTCAAGGTGGGTGGTGGCATTACGTTATAGATGTCTATAGACACCAGTAACCACTAACCACCAGTAACCACTAGATGGGCTGTGAGCTCGTCCACCCATCTAAGCAATAAAAAAAAAACATGTTCACAAAAAAAAAAAAAATTAGTATTAAGGTAGCCAGTAAAATATTATAAGTAACCTGCAAACGATTTCACACATTTTTAAGTTTGCTTATATCATTTTTATTATATAAAATTATCACATACATATATGTACAGATATATTCATTACCCAAATGTTAATTACTCAGCTTAAAGTGATAAGAGCTGATAGAAAATTAAAACTGTCACTTCTATCCCAGAGGCTGGGTTTTCATAAATATGTGATATCAGTTTCTACAGGCATAGAATACCGCACTAATACGTCCTATCTCAAGAACTGGTTGAGCAGGATGCAAAACCCCACCAGCTATCACTATCCTTTGAAGTTGTGATGTGCTCTGGTTCGTATAACAAAACATTCTATGAGTGCATTTCAGACTTCAATCATGTCTCAAAATGGGTAGCGTTTTAGGCTGTGATGACTACTGGATACAGCTACTGCTTAACATCAGCGGTGGGTCGTGAATCTTTATATATATATATATATACTAGCCGTACTTTACATTACAAACTACAACATACATTTAAAATTAACATCATTATTTATTGTCATTATTATTAGGGAGTCCAACACTCATATAAATATTAGCCTATCCATTAAGTACATGTATTTTCTACATGGATACTAAGTTTCAAGTCAATCGGGTGCATGGTTCAGTAGTTATAACGGAACATCCGTAAAGACCACTGTAGATTTATATATTTGTATAGATTTCTTCTGTGTTTGTCACTGAACTCCACCTAAACGGGCTGGGCCGATTTGAGTGATTTTTTTTGTATGCGTTTGGGTGGCACCCTGCATGGTTTAGATTCACGAATCAGCCCGGCAGAGGGCGCTGCAGTCGGTATCTAGGTTATTTGTCTTTCCTACACAAATAAAAATAGCCGAGTCAGCTAGTTTTGCTATATTAACCAATACAAATACCTTATTTGGAATTTATGATTACAAAATTTTAACGAAGATTTCGATGTTGAGTGATCAATTTATACTTGCGTATTGTGTATCCATTCCAGCCCTATCTCTGTTGCTTGTATAAACATTTTACAGAGATAAACTTTATTTGCCCATAGTTTTAGGAGCATTTAGATATTCATGACCGGAATTTTAAATTAGATCAAGCCTAGATAATTCATGTCCCTCACAACATATTGAGGGTTTATTCTTTTTTATTGAACATTTGAAATTAATTCGAAATTAGTTAACGAATTTGAAATTATTTTCCTCCAAGCAGAGAACTTCAAAACGATAGTGGATAATTATAAATAACGTTTCTTAATATAACATTCATTAAATGAAAATTGATGGCAGCACATATACTATATACATATAATGATTTATTTATGCATAATATTTTATATGGATAACTCGCAAGTGCCAACATACACTTTATTGCACACATAATATTTATTATACTTATTTATTTATTAGTTATTACACTTCATGTTTTTTTTTTTTTTTTTCCGGTTCCGGTTACGAAAGTGTAAACACGTATAAGTGAGATCTCCGTAAATATTAATAAGTTAACAGTGCAGAAAGTGGATAATAACACATACAACTTGTTCATATCTTTGAAAAATCAGACTAAAATAGTGTTTATATAAAAACGAGAACGAAATAAGCAGTTATTTGTGTGTTTTAAATCAAACAAAGCATCGATCATTACAAATTATAACCTCAAGATCGTGTACCATCATTCGACATTTAACATTGACAACCATAGATAATTTTTAAAAGTACCTACTACTGGTATTAAGTAAGACCTGGTAACTAAGACCTTTACGTCTTATCACAAATGATACCATCCTAATTGTTATTAATTATCTATAATAAAATTACCCAACATTTAAAATGGAAAAACAAATGGAAATTTTACTCTCCAAAATAAACGAAAAGTTTAATGAACAAACAATAACATTAACAACAGCAATAACTAAAAATGTTATGGAGGCCCTGGATGAAAAGATGAAAATATTAATGGAAGAAAATAATAACCTTAAAAGCAGGGTCACAGATTTGGAACAAAAAATAAAATTTTTAGAGAAGGAAAAACGAAAAAATAACTTAATTCTTTTCGGCATTGAAGAAAATGGAAAGACAGAAACAGAGTTAGTAGACTTTGTTAGAGAAACTTTAGTGGAATCAGGAACACATTTAGACAGCCAAGAAATAAGTTACATTCAGAGAATCGGAACGCAGTCTGATAGGAACCGTCCAGTTTTAATATCCCTTACAACAATTTGGAAAAAACATCTTATTTTGAAAAACAAGCGAAACCTTCCCACAAATGTATACGTTAAAGAAGACTTCCCTAAAGAAGTTCTCGAAATACGCAAACAGTTACAGCCAAAAGTGGATACAGAAAGAAAAAACGGAAATATAGCGTTTATAAAATACGACAAGCTAATTGTGAAAAAATCAATCAACACCAACCGTGAAAAAAGGAAACGAGAAATAACAGGGTCACCAACTACTTCTTCGCAGAAAAAGTTGAATACGAAGAACACCCAAAAAGTAAAGGCACCATTAAGCACGACACGAGAAGTACCAAATATATTTTTATCTGCAACACGCGAAAGATCTGTCTCCATGTCAGAGATGCCAAAAAACAAGTAAAGGCCCTGTCCAACCGGAACCAATACCAAGATACAACATCAAATATAACTACTAGAAAAGCTTTAAATTACTCCCCAAGCCGGTTGGTCACCGTGGGGAAAGTCGACCACCACCCTCCAACAAATCTGACAACTAAAATAAATTCAAAAATAAAAAAAGAGATACGAAAAAGAAGTAGTTTTTACTTATGTACACTAAACACACGAACCTTGAGAACACCTGAAAGTATACAAGAGCTTGAGCTTGCTATCGAAAACATCAAATGGGACATTTTGGGCATAAGTGAGATGCGCAGAATAGGAGAAGGCATAGAAGAGAGAGGCCGTTATATTATGTACCACAAAGGCGAAATCGCTGGACAGAGAGGAGTAGGATTTTTGGTTAAGTTAAAACTCAAAGGACAAATCAACGGGTTCGAAGGGATATCAGATAGGATAGCGGCGATTCATATAAACTTGCCAAACTATGTGAAAAGTTGGACAATCATTCAAGCCTACTCGCCGACAGAACAAGCAACAAAAACAGACATAGATAAGTTTTATGAAAAATTAAGTGAAGTTACGGAAAAATATTCCCATAACAATATAGTAATCATGGGAGACTTCAATGCTCAAGTGGGCGTTCGAAAAACCGGAGAAGAACATATAATAGGGAAATACGGAAAGGGTAAAAGGAGCAAAAATGGAGAAAAACTGGTAGAATTTCTGCTTGAGAAAAATTTAACACTTCTCAATTCAATGTTCCAAAAAAACCCTAAAAACAAATGGACTTGGATATCTCCAGATGGAAATGTTAAAAATGAAATTGACTACATAATAACCAACAAAGTTAGGCTATTTAGTGACACAGGAATAGTACAAAACCTAAACTTCAATACTAACCATCGTATGGTGCGCAGCTGTCTCAGTGAAAGTGATATAAAAAAGCCCAGGCCGAAAGCAATTCAAACAAAGTACTTACAAATAAATAGTAAAAACAGGGAGCCAAACGACACTACGGAAGACCTGATGGAAGTTATTACTTCAGGTATAGACTTAAACGAGAAATACAAATTAGTGGAAAATAAACTCAAAGAACAAGCAATAATAGAAAAAAAGAAGGGTAAAGAATTCTATCTAAGTGAAAAAACTTTAAAACTAATTGAAGACCGAAGGAATATTTTATCAAAAAGGGATAAGCAAGAAAATCAAAAAGAAATATCCAACCTTAGCAAACAGATTCGAGAAAATATGAGAAAAGACAGGAAAAATAGAAGAACAAAAACCCTAGAGAATCACATAAATAGAACGGGAGGCACTAGAAAAGCACTCAAAGAACTCAGAGAAAAGGGAAAAGAATGGATACCAAAGTTAAGAGACAAAGATCAGTCTATTACTTCCCGTAGTACAATCCAAAACATAGCAACAAAATATTATCGTTCACTATATTCAAATCAGCAAAACATACAAGTTCCCAATAGAGAGTATATAGAAAAGTCTATAAAAGAAAATACTGAAGTCGTACCAGAAATATTAATATCCGAAGTTGAAAAAGCTATAAAAAGTCAAAAGATGGAAAAAGCTCCCGGTCCAGATAAAGTTATAAACGAATTTATGAAAGGGACAATCAAAGAAATAAGCCCAATACTAACAAAGGTCTTTAATGAGATTCTATATACGGGCAGTATCCCAGGCCAGTGGGCAGAATCACACATAATACTCCTATATAAGAAAGGTTCAAAAGATGACATAGGAAATTACAGACCCATATGTCTCATCTCAAATGTATACAAAGTCTTCGCTAAAGTAATTTTAGACAGAATATCAATGAGGCTCGATGAAAATCAACCTGTGGAACAAGCAGGGTTTAGGAAAGGCTTTAGTACAATTGATCATATACATACAATTAAGCAGGTTATACAGAAATACAATGAATACAACAAAACTATTTACCTAGCTTTTATAGATTACTCTAAGGCTTTCGATAGCCTCAAACACGAATTTGTATGGCAAAGCTTGATAGAACAGGGGATTCAAAACATTTATATAAACATCATCAAGAAGATCTACAGCCAAAGTAAAGCCAGTATTAGATTGGAATCTATGGGAGATGTTTTTCCAATCGAAAGGGGCGTCCGGCAAGGTGACCCACTGTCACCAAAGCTGTTTACAGCAGTGCTAGAACAAATGTTCAGAAAATTGGAATGGGAACATCTGGGGCTAAATATTAACGGATCGAGATTGAACCATCTTAGATTTGCAGACGACCTAGTTCTATTAGAAGAGGATCCGATACTATTGGAATTCATGGCACAAACCCTAGCAGAAAAAAGTAGAGAAGTGGGTCTAGAAATTAACTCGAGCAAAACTAAAATGATGACAAATTCAATACCCATAAATATAACCATAAATGGACAGAAACTCGAATATGTAGAGGAATATGTATATCTTGGCCAGATAATATCACACAACGACCAAATGTCTAAAGAAATAGACAAAAGAATTGCAACCGGATGGAAACAATATTGGGCCTTGAAAGAAATTATGAAAAGCCAGGAATTGGGCATTAAGATCAAGAAGAAGACATTTGATACCTGTATCCTACCCTGCATCACATATGGTTGTGAAACCTGGGCTTTGACGAAACATCATAGGGACAAACTAGCAAGATGTCAGAGGGGTATGGAAAGGAGCATGCTAGGCTTGAAACTAAAGGACAAAGTTAGAAGTGTAGACATCAGGCGCAAAACGAAACTAACAGACATCCTGTCACGTATTGATCAATTGAAATGGAGATGGGCAGGGCATATGCTCCGCTGCAAAAAGGAAAAATGGAGCAAACAGGTGACAGTATGGTACCCAAGGGATGGAGCGAGGAGCCGAGGTCGCAAACCAAGAAGATGGGAGGACGAACTTAAAATTACCTGTGGACCCCTTTGGGTTAGAATAGCAGCAGACAGAAAGCAGTGGAAAGAGTTGGAGGAGGCCTTTGCCGAAAGGCACACCGAGATAAGAGACATTATGTAGTTTAAGTGTAGATTTTATTTTTATATTTTGTTTTAATTTGTTATATAGTTTTTAGTTTTTTTTTAATCTACTTAAAATTATTAGCTTAAAATGTAAAATTTTCGGAAAATAAAGGCTTTATTATTATATACACTTCATGTAAAATTTACATTGGCGGACTTAATGCCTAAGGCATTCTCTACCAGTCAACCAAAGGTAGTACAGAGTAAATAGTGGTAAATACTTATATGTCTCGTGATTACATATTTTGCTGTGAAATACTAACATACGGAAAACAATTTTTGGTTGGAAGGGCAATTTATACCTAATTAATCTGTGATACGAATCAATATGATGAACTTACTTCTTTATGGTATAATATAAATATAATAAATATAATATAAATATTTACTAACAATCACGCCACGATAACTGGTCCCGTGATAAGTTCGTAAAGAACTTGTGTTACAGGTACCAGATAACGGAAATAAATGTAATATTTTTATTATACACATACATATATTTAATATACATCCATAACCCTGGAAAAGACATTTATATTTATCATATAAATATCTTCCCTTGGGGGGATTCGAACCCGCGACCCCCTTGTGTAGTGACCATGTCACTTACCACTACACCAGACGGCCGTTATACGGACGGTATACGTCAATATTATTTTTTTGCTTATATGGGTGGACGATCTCACAGCCCACCTGGTGTTTAAGTGGTTACTGGAGCCTATAGACATCTACAACGCAAATACGCCACCCGCCATTATATATTAGTACTAAGGTCTCAACTATAGTTACAACGGCTGCCCCATCCTTCAAACCGAAACGCATTACTGCTTCACGGCAGAAATAGCCAGAGCGGTGGTACCTACCCGCGCGGACTCACAAATGGTCCTACCACCAGTAATTACGCAAATTATAATTTTGCGGGTTTGATTTTTATTTACACGATGTTATTCCTTCACCGTGGTAGTCAATCGGTGAACATTTGTTGAGTACGTATTTCATTAGAAAATTGGTACCCGCTTGTGGGATTCGAACACCGCTATATCGCTCAACACGAATGCACCGGACGTCTTATCCTTTAGTCCACGACGACATCTTAATATTTCGTTATAATGTTTAATTAGTTTATTTATATACGACTATACAAATGTTCCATCTTTTTCTACAGCGGCTGCCGCACCCGCCCCCGCTGCAGCAGCACCCGCATCCCCCGTCCCCTCCCCCGCTCCGGCCGCCCCACGTCCCAGCCCTGCGGCTGCCCCCGCCGAACCTGCTTCCTCAGGCAGGGTATACGCCAGCCCTATGGCTAGGAGACTGGCTGAGATCAAAAACATCAGATTAGGAGGTAAGTTTTTGATTTTCCATACGCTTTTATTAGCTTCAGACGTATGTATGTATGTTTGTAACGGAATCTTTGAACATGATTTTGACCCCCTTCAAAACGACGGATTAACTCGAAATTTGGTATACTTATTAAGGACCGATGACAATACAATATTAAATAAAAATTTGGAAAAACAAAATTTTGAAAAAATTGAATTCAACTGAAAAATGAACAATAAATATTAGTTTAAAAAAACTAACAAAATACGCTTTTATAGAAACTCCAACTAAAAAATGCAAAATAAATTTTAATAAATTTTAATTAAAAATAGTGTTATAGGATATTATCAAAATAACCCTACTACTCATATCTGTTCATAAAATATTTATAACTACTTATACCATGCACCCCACGCTTTTTTACAATAAAATCATTTTTTCATACACTATTTTTAATAAAAAAAAATTAAAAAAAAATCCCTTTTTAGTTGGATTTTCTATAAAAGCTTATTTTGTTAGTTTTTTTAAACTATTATTTTTATTGCTTAGATGGGTGGAGGAGCTCACAGCCCACCTGATTGTTAAGTTACCGGAGCCCATAGACATCTACGACGTAAGTGCGCCACCCACCCTGAGATATAAGTTCTAAGGTCTCAGTTTTTTATTTTTTTTATTTATTGCTTAGGTGGGTGGACGAGCTCACAGCCCACCTGATGTTAAGTGGTTACTGGAGCCCATAGACATCCACGACGTAAATGCGCCACCCACCTTGAGATATAAGTTCTAAGGTCTCAAGTATAGTTACAACGGCTGCCCCACCCTTCAAACCGAAACTCATTACTGCTTCACGGCAGAAATAAGCAGGACGGTGGTACCTACCCGCGCGGACTCACAAGAAGTCCTACCGCCACTTAATAATTTTAGTCTTCTTACTTAACTGAAAAATGTTATGCATTAGCTTGAAACTATGAGAAAATCCGAACTTTGTAATATACCGTTTGTTACAAAGTTGTTCTATTTGCCCAAATTTTTACGATTAATGAAATCCCTTAAAGTCTTTATTTCTGAAAAATTGCTCGTACAAATAAGTATTAAAATTTTTGATGGATAAATACTCTAACGCCATCCCTACAAGGTCTAAGACGACCGCTCCTGTGACGAAAACAGCAATGAATGAAATACTTTAATAACTTTTAACCGTTCGAAATCGACACCAATAAAATAATGTATTATATGGAAAAGTAATACTTATATATTAGGTCAGCACAAGGACCAGTATCCAGTATCTATTTAACCCCGTTGTTATTATAGAAAAAGATAAACGGATAAAATTTTCAAGTACATACATACAACGCATTTTTTTTCATGGTGATGGATTTTTTAAAGTATTTTATCCTTTCAATTTCGTAATAGTTCTATACCGAGCCCTCTGGATGGTGTATTGTCATTAAACGAAAAGGTATTTCGTTATATTGACAAAGGCACGTAATAAGTTACAATAAATGAAAGAAACTGGGAAAAATTTTACTTTAATTAGCAAACCAAATATACCATCTTCAGGGCAAGGTACGGGTCTATACGGGTCATTGAAGAGCGGTGACCTGTCAGGAGCGGCAGCGGCGGGACCAGCGGCTCCGGCCTCCGCCCCCTCCGCGCTCGCCCCCGCCCCAGCCCCCGGCGCCACCTTTGTGGACCTGCCGCTGTCCGGCATGAGGGAGACCATCGCCAAGAGGCTGACGGCCGCTAAACAAAGCATCCCGCACTACCAGCTCAGTGTCACCGTCAACGTCGAGAAAACCCTCGCCATGAGGAAGCTGGTTAACGAGAGGCTAGCTAGTGAAAAGGCTGATGTTAAGGTAAGCTACTCATCATCATCCTGCTGCCCTTCTCCCAGTCACCTGGGGTCGGCGCAACATGTTTTCTCCTTCCATACTCCACTCCTCTCTTACACATATCATCTTTCATGCAATCCGTCAATTTCTTCTTAGGTCTACTTCTACCTCTATATACTTTCACATTCATACTTAACACTCTCTTATCAACCTCATTTTCATTTCGCCTCATCACATGTCCATACCATCCCAAACGCGCACTTTCTCAACTTCTCTGTCACAGGTGCCATTTTCAGACTGCCTCTAACATGTTAGCAGTAATGCGTTTCGGTTTGAAGGGTGGGGCAGCCGTTGTAACTATACTGAGACCCTTAGAACTTATATCTCAAGGTGGGTGGCGCATTTACGTTGTAGATGTCTATGGGCTCAAGTAACCACTTAACACCAAGTGGGCTGTGAGCTCGTCCACCCATCTAAGCAATAAAAAAATGAAAAGTTATTTAAGGAAGGTAAATTTATTAAGGTAAACTACTACTAACCGATTAACGATATTCAATAAAAAATTTTGGGCTCTTTGGACGCGTTAAATGCCAGAGCCCATTATACTGATAAGTTTAGAATGCTAACGTAAATGACGCTGCCATCTTGTGATGTCAGGTATGATGTAAACGTCAGGTATGATATGAATCATAGTTTAACATATTAGCTAGTTTCAGAGGCGACTGTAGTCTGGAGTCGGGACATTAGTTACAATACATTGCTGTGCCGATATAACGCGGTGTCGCTACTATCGCAATTTTCAACATCTAAACATCGAAAATCAGATTTAAATGCCATAAGCAGTTCTAGTAATGTATTAATTTGTAAAGAAAGTTTCCTTTTTAACACAATCATAAAAAAACGCATAAGAAATAAAACAGAAAAATTTAAATGTATATATTTATAATATTTAAAATGAAACAGCGAACATAATTTTACACGTACGTAATATGCAATAAATAAATAATGGCAATTATTATTGCCGCTGAATATGGGCAAGATGGCGTCAAAGATTGCACAGATAACTAATTTTCAAACCGCGATAGCAGCGACACTACGGTTTTAAAATAAACTAAACGACAACAGTGCTCTGGTATCAATTAAACCGGAAAAAAGGTTATCGATCCCGACAAGCCGGACCACTGCTAATACAAACATCACGTCGGGCTATGTCATTAAAAATGATAATTTTAAGGTTTCAGTGAACGACTTCATCATTAAAGCCGTGGCGGCTGCCTGCAAGCGCGTGCCTACAGTCAACTCACATTGGATGGAGTCTTTCATAAGACAGTAAGTTTGAGATATTAATAATTGATTAAAACTGTTTTGTGTAGTACGCTTTCAAAGGTATTACAGCTCTCATGGTGTTGCCAGTCATAAAAACTAAAAGCATTGTAGCGCATAATCTCGAAGCCGCGAGTTTTGGAAGTGTCGCACGTATATTGCTGAGGCCCTGTCTTCAATAAAGGCGTCATTCTAATACAAATAATTTTTAAATTTTAGAAATAAAGGATAATAATAAAATAATAATAAATAATAATACAAGAATAAAATAAAAATAAGAATAATAATAAAGGATTTAAATAGTACAAAATATTATGTTTCTTAGTTATTGTTTACCTTTTAAATCTTTATTATCAAAACTATGCACACATTTCACCATGTGTCTTTTCATACGAAGCGAATTATTAAAGGATTTAAATGACGTACCTACCTAAGCTTTAACGTTAAATGATGTATCATCTAATCATGATATTGAAACCGACTTTTCTTTGAAATAATTTTTTTTTGTCTATCATCAGATTCTCCAACGTAGACGTGAGTGTGGCCGTGGCGACTCCGACCGGCCTCATCACGCCGATCCTGCACAACGCTGACTCGAGGGGTATCATCGACCTCTCGAAGAACATGAAGCAGCTGGCGCAGAAAGCCAAGGACGGTAAACTTCAACCTCAAGAGTATCAGGGCGGTACTGTCACCGTATCGAACCTAGGAATGTACGGTATGTATTCTTTATCTACGTTTAGCTGTGTAAACATATGACATCTCGTTTTGGATGGAATTTTAACAATAATAATAATAATAATTGAGAACAAGTCACACAGGGTCAGCGTGGTATGGACTTGTGATGCGTAGAGAGAAGATGCATGTGACTGACTAGGAGATGTATGGAAATGGTAGTGCAAGATAGAGGGGGAAGAGGTCGACCGAAGAAGACATGGATGGAGTGTGTGAATGACGATATGAGAGAGAGAGGAGTGAGTATTGAGATGACGGCTGATCGAAGAGAATGGAAGAGAAAAATCAGCTGTGCCGACCCCACCTAGTGAGATAAGGTGGAGAAAAAGAAGAAGAGAAGTCACACACGGTCGTCTGGCCCCAATTTAGGGTTCCTTGTGTTATGGGTACCAGAGATTGATTTAGATACGTTCGTATATATACATATATTATAGATAATAAACTCTTCTTCTTCTTCTTCTCAGTCGTGTCACTCTTGACAGAGTGGTCGTGATCGTCATGTAGTGTTGGAAGGGGCAGACTTGATGCGTCTCACGATGATAATAAACACTCAGGCAAAAAGCAAACATTACCTGTTCATCGCACAATGTTTGCCCGATATGGGAATCGAACAACAGTTAAGCAACAGTTAAGGGCGCTAACCATCCGACTCAGTCGATTATTATTATTATTTTATTGAAGTGTTATTGATTCGATGAAAACAGGCAGAGGTGACAAAAACAAATGACAATAACGTGTTATATACCCTAACTCTATGTAATATTCCGATATGCAATAGGAATTTTACCACATATATACATTGGCGTACGTGACTGTCGTGAACGCTGAGACAGCATTGCAACACCCTAGAAACCGTGCATTGACGTAAATGGCACATTGACGCACATGAGTGCGGGGACGCCGATTCAGTACCTTTACCTCATGGAGCTTCGAAGCCAGCCACGGGGCCCACACTTCTGAATTCACATCGTCGGAAGACAGACCAGTAGCATTAATAAAGTTTAAGTTTCATTGTAATCTTTTTAATTTTAATAAACTTTAGATTCATTTTCGGTTTTTTTTAAGACCTTAGGCTGCGACCTCCGTAATTAACGAAAGTGTTTGTTGTCGACAGGTATTACGATGTTCAACGCCATCATCAATCCTCCCCAGTCGTTCATTATAGCTTGCGGCGGCGTACAAGAACTGGTCATTCCAGACCAAAGTGAACCAAACGGGTATGTTGTTTGTTAGCTATCAGCATGACCACCAGCCAAATAGACTCAACAGCGTGCCTGTCATCAGGTCAAATCCCAACTATAATTTCCGCGTCTGAATAAGTCGTGTTGGAGCCCCCGTACCGCAGCACCGTAAGCTTCCATTAGCGTTCCAATTTGTGTGTACACCCGTGTACTACCGTGAAGCAGTAATGCGTTTCGGTTTGAAGGGTGGGGCAGCCGTTGTAACTCTACTGAGACCTTAGAACTATATCTCAAGGTGTGTGGCGCATTTACGTTGTAGATGTCTATGGGCTCCAGTAACCACTTAACACCAGGTGGGCTGTGAGCTCGTCCACCCATCTAAGCAATAAAAAAAATATATATATTTATTTATGTACACACAGAAAAGAAGAAATAGTATAGAGTAATAGGAAAATTATGTACAAAGGCACTGCTTATTTCTTTAAGAAATCTCTTCCAGCAGACCTGCGAGAGGACTATGAGAATAATAATTAAATGTGATGAGTGTGTGTAGAACAGCTAAAATAACAAATACAACATGAGAATTGCATAAATATTTTTTTTGATTCCAGATTCCGAACAGCCAAGTTCGTCACGTTCACAGCGTCGGCCGACCACAGGGTGGTGGACGGAGCGATCGGCGCTCAATGGATGAAAGTATTCAAGGAGAACCTCGAAGATCCCGCCAACATCATTTTATAAATAGAGAAACTTTCCTACCTCAATTCAGCTTAACGAAAGGATGTCGTGAAAACGTACACACATAGACGATTTCTAATTCCGATATTTAAAAAAAAAAAAAAAAAACTGACGTTTTAAGGTTAAGTGTTTTGAAACGGTATTAATTTATTTTTAACAACAAGTTGTATTTTTTTTTATAGTCGCTTTTACCGGTATCCGTATTAAAAAAGGGAGAAAAAAAGTAAAATTTATTGTAACCTGTCAAGAGATGGCCTCGTGTGTTTTTGGCTCCTTTGGATGTTCTGTTTCACCGTAAGACGGGGACGCAGAACATACATTTTTTTTTCATCACAATATTATTAGTACAATTTTCGCATTTTATTTCGATCACAAATAAAAAGTTTAGTTTTGTTCGTTCAAAGGACCAAAGTAGTTAATCGAAATAAGAAAAAGCTTAACTTTAAGCTTTGATAAACAGTTTGATCGTCGCGGTTTTCTTAATATTTAATTTATATATTTATTCTGTGGTTACGCTTTTAATGAGTGAGCTTTTGCTGAAAGCGCGTATTTAATAAAACTATAATTGTGATTTATGGGAAACGACCGAAAAAAAAACTCGTGACGAAATATACATTTTTACGCATTTTATTAATTTAAAAAGAAGTAGGGTTCGGAACGTAGATCTACATATTTATTGTAATTTACTGTAAATATGTAATAATAATTCGTTACAGCTGTGACGTCAGTATGGAAACTAATGTATGCATTGAAACGAAACGAAGCATTATTTTGTTTTGTTAAAAATTTTGTAATGTTATTTTGTAACGTTTTGATGATGCTAGATTATTTATGAACGTTAGTGAAATATATTTTACTTACAGATGAGTTTGTTTTATTTTTTGGGTTTCATTAAAATTAATATAAAATTTTACTTTCACACCAGTTGGTGTTTTTATCAATTTCTACTGTCATGAACTTCGCCTGATTGGAATTGGACAGTTTTGTCAAAAAACATGCATGCTAATCTAGATTTTTGACACACGAACACTAATACTGAAATTAGCTGAATTTAGAGTTAAGTTTAAAAAGGATAAAAACAGTATCAATCTTTTGTGTAAGTTGTGTTCTGATTTCCAGACTAAAGAAAAAAACAAAACGAAAAATTGAAAAACTTTAAACTAGTATATCTACATACATATTAAACATACAAACTAAATTAGTAATACCTATGGAAACAATATGGCAATGACATTAAAAAATGGCGACTCAAAAACTTTTTTCACACAGCTGACAATTCAATACAATTCTAATATTTACTCTGTCTGTTAAGCGGAATATTAATATTCCCTAATGAATGTATTTCATAAACTATTAGATCATTCAGGTCGTGCCCTTGCGTGTAAAAAATTAGTGAAAAAATTAAACATGATCTACTAAGCTTCAAATTGGCACGTCATGTCAAGGTCTGACGTATGTCACGCTTAATCACAAATGAATAACAACTTAATAAAAGTTATGTATGTAATAACAATCTAGAAAGTAGAATTTCTCACGGTGTGTAGCTTTTTATCATTTCAGATGTTGATGGGGCGAAATTTGGATTTTGACCTAACACTAATTTATTTGCAATTTAAGTACCTACTAACTCAATAGTACAGAGGTAATTCTAAATATAATTTTTCAACTGAGTATGTTCCTAAGATGTTTATGTTTGTTTTGCGTCCGACGTCGAATCTAATTGGTATCGCATTCACCGTTTCAAGACATCACGTTTATCATGTAGACAGTAACACGTTGATTGATTGACAGGCTTCGGGGAAATCACATGTCTATCATGAATCCATTTTCCATGTATGTTAAAGGCCACAAAGGTAGGTTTGGTACGTACTTCATAGTGTAATAAAACAAAACATATAATGTTTATTTCCGCAATTGATTAGTGGTCGAACATGTTGTGCACGTCTAATCCGGCTATGGAATGAGCTCCCCTTCACGGTGTTTCCCGAGCGATATGACATGTCCTTCTTCAAACGAGGCTTGTGGAGAGTATTAAGCGGTAGGCAGCGGCTTGGCTCTGCCTCTAGCATTGCTGAAGTCTATTGGTGACGGTAACCACTTACTATCATGTGGGCCGTAGGCTTGTCTGCCTACAAGGCCAATAAAAAAAATCTGGTACTGATCGTAAGTCTGACGCGTAAGGATAGTACTTATCTCAATGCATAATTAAAAATATGTATATTAAAAGTGCCCCGCGATCTTATCCGGGTTAAATTTAAAATTTAGAACGAATGAAACACATTGCCTTTTTCCGAGATAAGGAGTTGCTGGTGTCCTTTGTGTTTTAGTATGTTCACTGATAGTAAGTGAAATCACCAAACAGCGAACAACTATAATATATAATAAGCTAAGCTAATATCGGGCGTTTCTCACGTTATTTACTAGGCTAGAAATTCTCTTTTTCTTACATTTTGTATAAGTCAATTCAACTATTTATTAACTATTTAATAACTTTAAAATTTACAACATTAGTAGTATAAATTAATTTTATTATTGCTTAAGAAGACTCTGTGATTCGAACGGAAATAAAGTTTAGTAACAACTATTTTAAAGTACTTGCGTCCCCCTGAATAGCCACTAATGGTTAGTTAATCACGACTAATCTACTTTTGCTGCGGATGGACGTAGAGGATAACAGTCTAACCCATAGACACAGCCGACAGAGTTTCTAGCCGGATCTTCTCAGTGGGTCGCGATTCCGATCCGGTGGTAGCTTCTGCGAAGCACTGCTTTTCCTAGGGCTAGTATTAGCGAATTCTCAAGCTAAGTTGAGCCCGTGAGCTGACCTACTCATCTGCGCGAAGCTAGAATAGAGCATCTTAGGTTACTAGCGTAATGTAAAGAGGAAAAACAACAGTCTAGTATTAAATGTCTATGACAGTTCGTAGATACGTGAGCACCGTCACGCAACTAGAGACGAAAATCTCATCACCATAGTGTAAACGTTTGTTTACTCTTCAAATCTATCAATGTTTCTCGGCAGGAATTAGCACGCAATTAATACGTTGTACTACCTGTCAAGTTCACCTGAATTCAGATTAAAAAACCAATAGGTATATACCTACATATATCGCAGAAATTACTGTAAAGCTTATGTAAATTTTTTGACATAATTTTTGAAGTCGTCGTGGCCTAAAGGATAAGACGTCCGGTGCATTCGTGTTGAAGCGATGCACCGGTGTTCGAATCCCGCAGGCGGGTACCAATGTTTCTAATGAAATATGTACTCAACAAATGTTCACGATTGACTTCCACGGTGAAGGAATAACATCGTGTAATAAAAATCAAACCCGCAAAATTATAATTTGCGTAGTTACTGGTGGTAGGACCACTTGTGAGTCCGCGCGGATAGGTACCACCGCCCTGCTTATTTTTCTGCCGTGAAGAAGTAATGCGTTTCGGTTTGAAGGGTGGGGTAGCCGTTGTAACTATACTGAGACTTTAGAACTTGTATCTCAAGGTGGGTGGCGCGTCTACGTTGTAGATGTCTATGGGCTCCAGTAACCACTTAACATCAGGTGGGCTGTGAGCTCGTCCACCCATCTAAGCAATAAAAAAATAAAATAAAAAAAAACATACATATACTGTTTCTTTTAGATGACCGAAATGTCAACTGAATGGGAATCGGAGTCAGAGATCAAGAAACCCGTAAAGGATGTGCCGGTAGTTCAAGATCAAGGTCTTTTCAAACACGATACTGGTGATACTTACGACGGATACTTTGAAGCGAAAAAGAAAGATCGAAGTGTTAAGATGCATGGTATTCAATACGTCCGTTTTATTCTGAACAATATTCTTATTTTGACGAAGCCAACCGAGAGAGCATCCCATTTGATGGCACTTTTCACCGATAACACGATGCGATGGTGATACGCCCAGACCGTGGCTTACCTTAAAATAGCTTCTTTTGATGACAGGAATTACCTGCTACTAAGATAAAATGTGGTATTACTGACAAAATCTGTGACTGTGAACTATATTTTATTATGACAGTTAAATAATTCATCATGTAGTTAATATCAAATCCACGCCAATCTCTTTATCGCGTCATCTGTACGACGACCTTTTTTGTGGCCCAGCGCCGAAGGCAGGTATTTAGGGTTCTACCAACTAAACAACTTCACTGCACTCTCGCCCAATCGTCCGATTCCCCTCAAGGTCAGAAACCCAAAGACGCTCGGCTAACGGAGCCTTCGATGCGAAACGAAGGCTCTGCAACGTCGGCCGTCTCGGTACAGCGGTCCGTCGCTGTTGTCCTGGGCTACCCCGCTGGGTCAGAACCAGCCTGTTGGGTCGAGACGCGATACACCGCCAACGAGCCGGGATGTACGCTCGCAATGTCTCCTGTCTTGAGCCTCCGGCGAGGAGAGGACAGAGCTCACCCTCTCTAATTCCGTCGCCTCCTTCTGCGAAATGGTGGACTCGCAGAAGTCGAGCATCACCTTCTAGGATGCGCAGCTATCGCGAGATTCGAGCCTCCGTGCTCAAATCACTCCCTCGCCGTGTCGATTCGCAAGGCGACCTGCCTGTTTCTGCCACGAAGTAATCATACGTGCAATCATGAAAGATCGTCTCCATCTATTTTTAAAGTAGCAGGTATATGCCGATGGTTTATTGGCTTGTTGCCGTTTAAGTACTCCGAATATGAAGAAATAACAATGAAACCTAATATAACAGATCACATAATGTCATTATAAGAACATATGTAGGTACTAGATTGACGTATAACCAATTACTATTCGTGCCGATTAACATAATACAATGCTCAGTGCTAAAAGATTACAATGATCGATTAGAATTATACTTCACATATTTCAATTAGACGGCATCCATTGTCCTTTCAAAGCACTAGTAGCCATGAACTGTTATTACTCTTCTTTGTTTTTAAATGACAAATATATAAACTTATGCACCTACGCTGACATACTAAGCGGACGATGCTTTTTGAAATTTAATCATTTGTTTTAAATAATTATACATAGGAGTATATATTTTTTACGTATAATCGCAAGTTCATAGCCTTCCTGAGATCTTACGTCATGACATCACTGTTTTGGGTAATATGTACCTCTCAATTTCACAGTGTAATGGGCCGTGTATAGAGACACCCATTCAAACAATCGTCACGCTCTAATAGCTTAAATGCATTGTTCTTGTTACGCATTTGTCTCTTTGTTTTACGAATACATCCAATCGATTGCATAATTACCGTTTAAGGACCAGGAGTGTACATTACGGCTGAAGGGGACAGCTACAAGGGCGTTTGGGAGAACGATCGCCTAGGAGCAAACGATGAAGTAACTATACATTTTTCTGATGACGCAAGATACGAAGGTCAATTGAAAGATTGGAGTTTCTGGGGTCCTGGAAAGTATTACTATCCGGATGGAAGTGTTGTTCGTTGTGATTTTAACGACAACTGTCCAGTTGGGAATATGGTATTAAGTGATCCAAACGGACATGTCTGGCTTGGGAAAGCGGAGCTAGGCTGTGGATGGTTCGGGCCAGTGAATCATTTTTATGAGATGTTGGAGAAAACACGGGACGTGTCTCGTAAGCACGTTCCAAAGATGAAAGAGGATTCCGTTAAAGCCCAGTTGCAGAAACCTATAAAAGCTGAACAATAATGATTTTAATAGTATCTACAGATATTTACAGATGTTTTAAAAATTTGAAATAAATTTAATACGAAAGACTGGGAACTGTTTCAATAATGAACGTGGATGCAATCAGTTTGAACCTGTAAGTTATTTATTACTCGATGACAGGTTGTATTATCGACACATAAAGTATACGTCATAACAATTAGTGTACACAAGCAATGAGTTGACACTTAAACTGGGGGAATGTTCAGTGGGTTGTGAAACGGGGCGCTAACAGCCGTTACTCTTGAGGTACACACTCGGAACCACACTTCACCATTTGAACCCACTCACAGTCAAGTGCTCAGACACAATCGCTTGCGACATATTTATGTGTGACTCCGTAGGTTTTGGTAATAGCTACCTTCATTGCAAATGGGCTTTCGTGTGTGGTGACACACTTTCTTTTTATTATCTATTGTAAGGAATACCCTACAAAAAGGGTATAAAACCGGCGCGCAGCTCCGTCACCCGCGCATTTGTCGGTTGACATTCGTCGAGAGAACATCGTTCAAAGACTTTAAGTGTTAATTTAGGAAACACGAAATTTATAATAATGTTGAAGGTACAGTGCCTATAAATAGTAACGCCTTTGCTCGAAACATTCATTCGATCGGCGGCGTTCGTGAGAGAAGGTAGTCGTGGACGTGGTGTGCGTGAGTCATTGTTTTAAGTCTCTGTATACGTGTGCTAATTGTTATTTTTTAAAATGATTTTTCTTCTGATTCCTAATATCAGAAGTGGGATAAAGGACTCAAATAGCCCACAGTAGCGTAAAACTCTGAACTTTGTTTTGTTTTACAAAGACTGCTTACTTTGATGCTTTCATACTTTATTTGTTATTTTTCTGGTGTGATTGCAAATGTTAACTGTGATAATGAGATATACTGAAACTTCTAGTACACAGAGGCGACCGTCTCGAGATGATTCTCGTAATCGAAAACGACGTTCTTTCGGAAGGTCTCGCGATCACAGAGATGATTGACAGAATCGCGATACGAACGATAGAGGTCTTACTTCACGGGATGGCTTGCGGGTCCGAGACCAGCATGATTCTCGCAGTACTGATGTGCGTCGGTCACGTGCTCGGGTTAGGCGCGGATCGCATAGTAGGGACCGCTCTCGTAGTGCCCGTCGCGGGAGGTCGAGATAGCGCTCGCGCACGATTAAACCTGCCGCGACACGTTCTAACGATAAGGCGCGCGCTGAACAGACCACCGATATTCTACGGACAGTTACGACTCCCATGTCGAATATCGTTGGTTCGCAACAAGGTCGCGTAGAATCTAGTATCCCTGGTTCTGAGGCGTCTACCCTCGCCAGTGCTTTAATAGAACTTTAATAGTGATACGGGGCATAATGGGCCCTCAGGTTAGAGCCGCGAACACTAATCTACTCGCGATTTGATTTCATTTTTGGAGGTCAGGTTAGGCAGTCCTTGTAGGGTTCGGGCACTAGTTGTCACCAGTGATGCGTAATATCAAACAAGTAGACGGGACTGTGTTGGCAAAATGGTCAATTGAACTTTTGAGATTACAGCTCATTCTGAACATCACAAAACGCAAGACAACAGACATCCGCCCTGCAGCTTCTGGTAGGAACAGACGCCACCACACCTGTGGTGAGGACTCTAATTAGTGATGTCACGACTGAGGTGTTTCGGAGTCGTGGTCGAGAACTAGGTCGAGGTAGAGCTCATCAATTGGTACCATGGAGTAAAAAGCAACATGATGCTCGCGTGGACAGGCACCGACGAGCAGCAGCCGTTTTTAATGTCGGTAATCTTGTTTTGGTAATAACTCACAGTCTACAAGAAATCTAGATCCGGCAATCCGTGGACCTTACTGAATGGTGAGGATGGTGCCTCACGGGCATTGTCGCCAGCTCGGGCCCCTCGATGGTTCCTGCGACAGTAGCACGCAAGCGACGTGCCGGTAGCTGCGTAATATCGGTCGGCAGGTAAACTTGATTCCGGCATGCGTGGCCCGTATAAGGTTGTCGAAATTCTACCCAGTGGACGCTATACCCTACGGCTGCTCAGCGGCAGTTATGGCAAAACTACGCAAGCAGCTGCACAATATATGGTGTCGTGGCGGGGCGAGTGGACCCCTGAGACATGTGCTGCCTTCTTTGAGAGTCAGTAAGTTAATAATGATCATTGTTCACAAATATACGTATTCCTATGGTGAACCTGAAGGGTGAGCTATAGATGACTGCTCTCTAGTTACGTATCCCTCACTCGGAGTCACGGTGAGATGCCTCAATACGATCGGCCTAAGCTGGCGTATTGAGAAGCCTCGGCACGTTTGAGTATGGTCGGCGTGTCGGGAAGCTTCACACGTTTGAATATGCTCTGCGTGTGGAATGCACTCGTACGTTTTTAATACGATCTTCGTACGAGTGGGTCTGGGACCATTTTACAGGGATCACTGGTAACCAAATGCAGAAGACACTTAACGAAGGGCGACGCACACTGGCCCTTGGATAATAACAGGAATATGCGCATTAAGAATGATTGTGCTACTGCGCGCACTGCTCCCGTGCCGCTACCTGCACGCGCTCTCTTACTTCTGGCGTGCAAACTGCGCGTACTGCTCGCGTGCCGCTGGCTGCGCGCGCTCGCCTGCTTCAGACGTGCATACTGTGCGTACTGCTCGCGTGCCGCTGGCTGCACGCGCTCGCCTGCTTCAGACGTGCATACTGCGCGCACTGCTCGCGTGCCGCTGGCTGCGCGCGCTCATCTACTTCTTGCGTGCATACTGCACGTGTTGCTCGAGGGCCACCGACTTCACGGTGCCGTACGACTGGCAGTGACGTAGAGGGCGACGTCGCTCGATCTGCGGCCTGCTGCTTCACTCGTTGGGGACTATAATGACTTTGGTTCACTAAGCCCGACGCAGGGAGTCACGAGTAAGGAGTAATTCGTTTGCAGTCCTGCTGAGCTACTTATGCGCTCTGCCTACATTTTCAGGATTATCTATCAGGACGGTCGAGCGGGACGCCCGCCACACGTGGTGCAGCCTCACATCGTGGTTGCAGACTGGAGCTGGGACGGCTGCCCTGCTGAACTTTCGGGAGGCGCGAATCTAACAAGATCTTTCGCACGCTTCCGCATCATAGTTACGAGTAGACCCCAGTTATGTGGTCGAGGACGAACCACAGTCAGGAGAGGCCGTGTAAGGAATACCCTACAAAAAGGGTATAAAACCGGCGCGCAGCTCCGTCACCCGCGCATTTGTCGGTTGACATTCGTCGAGAGAACATCGTTCAAAGACTTTAAGTGTTAATTTAGGAAACACGAAATTTATAATAATGTTGAAGGTACAGTGCCTATAAATAGTAACGCCTTTGCTCGAAACATTCATTCGATCGGCGGCGTTCGTGAGAGAAGGTAGTCGTGGACGTGGTGTGCGTGAGTCATTGTTTTAAGTCTCTGTATACGTGTGCTAATTGTTATTTTTTAAAATGATTTTTCTTCTGATTCCTAATACTATAGTAAAGATGTTTAATCAGTATCTTAAACTATTAAAATTTTAAGCGTTCAACATTGCTAGAATTTTCTCTAGTATCTAATATAATGGGTTCTAGAAACGCAATGATATATAATTAATATATGTCACTAATAAAATAATTAACCAATGGAGCAAATTGGTGATATAAAAATAAACCTGAATACCTCTCAATCTATACTCAGAATGATCCATAAGTGAATTTATTTACCTACCTATCAAAGGTTCAAGATCTCCGAACTTATCTGAACTTATGTGAAGCTATCTATTATTATTTTTTCCAAACGACTTTAAATTGAAGGGAGTTATCGATTCAAGGTTTTTTTTTTTTCGTTTCTCTGTTATGCGATATTTTCAGTCACCATAAAGGGAAGCGGTAGACTGCTTGCCGCCTACATTCAGATAAATAAGTATAGGCTTTAGGTATAAAGCAACTAACAGATCATTCTGTTATTTTGGCCTCGAATTTACACCCACATACTACGTCCAATTAACGAAGACCTCTGCGAACGTGGGCGCGTTTCTTCCTTTCATAAGTTCATAGATTAATTAAGGAGGCCGTGCGAATCTTGTTAAAATGGCTAGATTAGTACATTTTTGCAGCAGCAAAGGAGCGGCCTGCTGCGTGACCTGACGCCATGTATCTTGTGAATGGTGTAATGCAGTAATTATTAATGAGCGTCCCTCCACGCTCATTTAGGTGAAGGACAACTTAGTGATAACGTTTTGCGTTTATATTGTCTAAGATTGTGGTAATTCGTTGATCTTAGTTGATCCGTAAAATACTTTAGTAGGTACTGTATACAATTCATAAATCCATTATTGAATTTATAATAAATTACGGAATCTATGATAATGTAGATTAAAATGATGTAGACGAAATAATCAGTGTAACCAGACTTAATGCAAATCAAAATAAAATGACGATATTATAATGATCGAATTTCTCTAAGCGATTCGTGTAGTCTTTAAATAATACAACAGTAAAGTAAATATCGATCACAAAGTTATCATTTTAAAATCAATTTCAATTTGGACAAAGGCAAAAAAGCTCATTACTAATTATGTCCTTCTCACTTTCTTCATTTATCTGCTATTTTTTGTTTAGTAACTATTGTAGAGTTTTGGTGTTATTACTTTAGTGTTGTCAAAGTATCTTTGAGAAATAGACAGTGTTTTTTAATCTGTCAATAATAACATAAAAATAAATAATAGTTTAAAAAAAAACTAACAAAATACGCTTTTATAGAAAATCCAATTAAAAAATAGACAATAAAATTATTGTTTCTTACACTATTTTTAATTCAAATTTATTTTCTATTTTTTAGTTAGTTTTTTTAAACTAATACTTATTTTTCATTTTTTAGCTGATTTTCAATTTCTTCAATATTTTTTTTTAATCTTAAATTGTCATCGGTCCTTAATAAGTATCTAATTTCGAGTTACTCCGAAGTTTTGAAAGGGGGTCAAAATCATATTCAAAGATTTCGTTACATACTAAC